CTGCCCACTCTTGTTTTGCTTCAGCAGGGATGTATTTGATTATTTTTGCAGTAGGCATGCCTGGCCCAAAGCTGTTAGTCCATGTAAAGTTCAATGAGAGGCTCTTTGATACTTGTTTAGTTCATATGGCTCAACACAGGGCCGACCAGAGGCTCTAAAGACCACCTGGGTTCACATTCTACAATTATTTTTGCTCTCATTTAATGGCGTTTATTTATAGGGCTTTTACATTGGGTCTTAAAAAGTCTGCAAACCTATGGAAAAAACTCTGTTTTCAAACTTGATTCAATGGCCCGAAATTTTTACATATAAGTCAATCAATCAATCGATCCACACCAGTTTGTGTATTCTGTCCTCTTTTCTTTTTAACTTTTAGTGGTGTTTGCAGTTTCTATTTTAAATAAATGAGAAGAGATTAAAAAATATCAGCAAGAGATTCAAGTGAATGGTTGTATTTATACTTTAAAAACGTAAAATTATTGAGAACTATGGGAAATTAACAGTAAAAACGTGTAGCGGTCCAGTATGTTAAACCATCATTTTATAATAAATGTGATCTTTAAGACTTTTACACAACAGATTAAATTCATTACAAACTGAAAATGTTGTAGTATAGTCCAAATAGAATCTAGTTCATTACACTGGAGTTCAACCATTTGGTGAGATTTAGTTTTTCCTACACACAACAGAGTCTACTCCAAATTATATTACAAAGCAGTGAACTTTTTGTACATCATTTAATACCCGTTAGTAAAAATGTTATTTTCTGAAGCTTGGAAAACTGTGTTAGCTCAGTGAATTTGTAGCGATCCTTCATATTAAGGAAATTATCTTCATCATGTGGAAATTCAGCTTAAACACATAATGCTGCTAGTCTCCACATTTTATCTTTTTATTTTTTCAAATGGTCTCCAGGTGCCAAATAACATCCACAAAGAAGAAATACTCCTGTGACCCAGAAGAACTTAATGTTTACTGTAAGAATTGTGTCTATAAATGGTGAACCAGAAGACATCCACAGTGCCTTTGGCTGTTCCCTCTGCTGAGATTTTGATGGATCGTGGTCATTGTTTGAGTGCGAGCAGCTGGACACCTGTTTGATCTGGAGATCAAATATTCCAGACCGGCTCACTCACTGAACACCACCGTTTCAAAACCATGGCTTGGGGTTCAAATGGAGGGGAAAAATTCTCCAGGGGAACTAACCCTGCAGGGTCTAGACATCTCCACACCTCCATCGATTTCTTTTCTTTACAAATTCTATTATTTTACTCTCAAAGAGGATGAGTTGAATAAATGTCACTAAGATGTCCCATGGCTGTAGGACAAAGAGTACCTCCTGTTCTGCCCAAGGTTCCCTTCTGGAACATTAAGCAGATTCTGTTCCCAAGCTGTTGTGTGAACACAGAGACCACCTCCTCGTTGAGCTTACTGAGCACTAAAACCGTTAACAGTGGTGTAACAGATCAGCTTTGGTAAAAATAAGAGAAAAATAGGCATCTTATCAAGCAAACAATGCTACTAATTAAATATCTGTTTTTTTAATACTTTCATATTTTCAAATGCCATTTATGCCTGGTTCAAGAGATTTTCTGCATCGGCTGATTGTTGTTGTGCAGAACACTAATGCTGACCAACAAAACGCTAACTACCCCTTGTCTAATAAATGAATGGAAGGTAGGGGAATGTAATTTTCTGCTTGTCTGCAGATGAGGGTGACTTATGCCCAACTCTCTTCCTTCCTATCCCCCTCTTCTGTGTGGATTAGAGCACATGCACATTTCACTTCCTTCCCAAGGCTGCAACTGACATGAGGAGCTAAAGATGGCAAAAGTTTTGCAATCATTTTAGAGTTTTTGTATTTCCTTCTCTGACCTATTGCACAGTGTTTGAATAATTCATTACGCCTCTTGATGATCTCCACATCAACTTCAATATATTCAAAATCAAATGGTTACCTCTTCAGCATGCAGTGAGGTTATAGAGAGTCCAGCTAAAGACCCAAGTACAGCGGTTGAATTAGGTCTGTAGAGACAGAGGCACCTCTAGATGTTGCAGGTCACTAGCCCTCCAGGACTGGAGTTAACCGAGTGTCAGACCAACACAACCGGTGCATAATCATAAAATTAAAGAGACTAAATATATTTTCATGTCTTTTTTTAAATCTGAAAAGTGCGGAATGCATGTGTAAAATCTCTAAGGTCTGGAGTAGTTGGCACATATCTCTGACTGGCTTACTTCTAGGACTGCCTAGTATTTCGCTTTCATCCTATTTGACTATTCCTCCAGTCACTGCTACATATGAGAAATCCCACATTGCGATGATGTAGTCACCATGGGACAATATCAGGATTATCTTTTAAAGTTGAAGTGCACTGTTAGTTTTTGCACACTGTGTTTTTTATGTAGGCTATTAGATTTTGTTTTTATGTTATTATATTAGAACATGATGTTCTACCTGTGTGTTGGTTTGACTTGTTGCAAACTGCAAACATGACCACATATGGCATTTTTGTCACACAGTTTGCCTTTTACTACTCACTAGTTAGCATTTATGACAACAAGTGAATAACTTGTGTTTATAGATTTGTTCACCTAAGCTGTGGATCTCAGTCCACAGTTGCTCCAGAGTTTTCCTTTTTATCTAGCATATTAATGCTCTCGTCAGCTAGCATGCCTGTCTCGGTGGGCAGCCATAGCTTTGTAGGTTTGCAGTTTTGTCATACATGTTTACTTTTCAGACATTTTTCAAAGCGTGGAGTGAGTTTTTAACCTGCTTCATAAATACTCAGTACATTCTTCTTAATCTACCTGCTTTGTTCCTTTGTCTTCATGATCTTTGTTCTCTAACAAACCTCTTAACAAACCTGTGAGGCCTTTCAAAGATTAGCTGCATTCCTACTGACATAGTTACACGTGCACTTATTTTTTTTATTAATTATGTACTAAAATCCTAATGTATTTACAAGATTATTTGTTCAGTCTTACTTTTGAACTTTTTATCACAATAATATACAGTAGTAATACTTTCAGATATGAAGGAATTGAATCCAATATTCTTCAACATTGTATTTCAGTTTTTAAGGTTTGATTTTGTGAAACAGAGGCAGGAGGCCCAAATTTCCAGAAAAATTGATGTAATGGCTGCTTGGTTTCCTGCAGAGGAAACTTACTTGCTGGCTTTACTCATCTTTTCTTGGCCTCTGCACACTGTGCCTCTCCTTCACCATAATCTTGACAGAGACCAGTTTTTCCTTTCGCGTACCATCTTGTTTATGTGTTTGCCAGAGCACTCCCAGATCCTTTTCTAAATGATAGCCTCTCCACTCTCAGCACACAGGAGCCAAATTAGAGAGTGAGGCAGAACTACATTGCTGCTCGCTCCATGCTTCAGGCAGGCAGTGGGAGGCTGGGGCCACAATCAGCTGAAACTGTATTTTTTTCTGTTGTTGTGTTTGATTACTGTCGGATATTAGAGGAAAAGGATGCTACCTTAGCACCAAGACTGTACCGTTATTACCTTTGAGGCAGGATGTTAGAAGTGTTTGAAACTAGGCGAATGCTTTTGTGAGCTCCTTCAGTTGTCTCCTAGCTTGTATGATTCATGCTTTGTTATAACATCAAGCAACTTCACATTTCCCACATCTGGTTTTTTTTTTTTCAAAGATGAAAGATTTTATTTGAATATCTTTTAAAAAAAATCAAATATTTTAGTTTGCTCATTTCAGAAAGTGAAACTCATTGATAGCTTCATTACACAGGGAAATATTTCAGACATTTTTTGTTGCTAATCTAATAATTATGACTTACTGATTATGAAACAAGAATTTAGTATTAGATGAATAAAAAGAATATTAAAAATTCAAACTTTAGGTCCCTGAACAGAATGTTAATTTCTAAGCACTCAACACTTGCTAGTTTAAAACCTCACGGGGAATACATTTTCTACATGTTAAAGTACAATTGTCGGACAATACCAAGGCTAAGATATTCAGAGTAAATATTAGTAATAATAAGACAAAATTAAAGAAGTATTTTAACAGGTAAAAATTGAAAGGAAAACTATGTATGAAGATTATTGTCTGTTCTATAAGAAAAGCGTGGAAAGATCCTACTTTGTCTTTTATGTTATTTTTCGTTTGTGAGCCACCCATGCCTCCAATCGGAAGGTAAAAGGCTCTGAAAAAGGCTCAGATGGCTGTTGCTTTATATTTTCTGCTCCTCAGCACTACTTCTGTCCCTGTGGTGTCTACTAAAGGCAAAGTGTACGCAGAAATATTGCAACAGATTAAATACAAAAAAGCACATTGTATTTTTTTGCTATAGCCATAAGTGTATAGTAAAAAGCAATGAAAATAATATGTTTCCCACAGATTGTTTGTCTGCTTTTAAAGGCTGCATGATATTTCAATCAAAACCTGTAAATGAAAAGCAGCAACCTGCCTTTTTACCAAGCTGGTAAATGACCTTGACTGCAGACAAACAAAAATGATGGCATCCTTGTGAATCCTGCACATTCTTCTATCCTGTCTAAGCAGTTGTATTTGTTTACACTACCACAAGACTGCCAGGGGAAAGCAGTTATTTTTGTGGCTTGCTTTGTTGGGATGATTGTTGTTCCAAAGAAGAAAATGTGGAGGTTTGCTCAGAGAGTGATGATAAAGGAGTTTTGTGACTACAAAGGTAACAAGTAGGATGGGGAGGTAGGGGGGAGGAGGGTCTCAAGCTGCCTTACAGGGATGGCAGCCTGTAATTAATTTTGCATGAGTCTTTCACCCATTGCGTGTATGTTTTTGTTCTTTGTGTGAAGTATAACTCTTTAGGAAGGAACTGAAATTTCGACAATGGTAGAGAAAGCTTCAGGTCAGAAGTGTGAGGCTTATCTAAGAACCTTGAAAAAACATTGATATAATAAATTAAATACCTTTCTTAATAGCAATGGTCTTAGCAACAGATCAACTTTGATACCTGAATATATGTTTATCTGTTCTGCTTTACAGATACATCAGAAACACTCCCCGGCACTGGCAACGATGGTGAGAAGTGATACAGTGGCTTGCAAAGTCTAGATGGTGGAGTATAAATACCTTTTAGTTCAACTGACAACAGCATGGATTAGAGATGTAACTGTGAAGCCATCTACAAGATGAGGAAAAGGACAAGGATGCTGTATATTTTCTACCTGACCCTTGTAGAGTAGCATCAGAACAAATTACTAAGAGAGGCTTAACAAGCTGAAAAAGGAAGCTGTGTTTGTTCTTGGAACTCCTATAGGATGTCTCGAGATGATATTACTAAGACAGATTCTGGATCATATCAAGAACCTTATGGAAAATGCCTCAACATCTTCTTCACAAGACTGTCAAAGTCAAAGAGTGTTTTTAATCTGAGGTTTCTCCAGATCAGCTGTAAGACAGGCCGCTACATCCTTCCAATTGCTGCATCTACAGCAACTCATTGAAAAATCTTTGATATAATCTACAACAATTGGAATACCATATACCTAACAACTGACACCCTGATGGTGGCTGCATCATGGTGTGGGGTACCTTTCAGGAAAACTGTGGTAGAGCTTCCCTAGAAGAAAGCCTGCTGAAGGCTTACCTTGCGCTAGGACAGGCACCATATTCAGAAAGCCTCAGTATAATAAAGATTATCTAGATCTAAGGATATCCATGTTTTTAATGGGCCAGTCAAAGCAGTTCCCTAACCTAAATACTCTGCAGAAAGATTTGAGTGGTGTTATTCAGACGATTTTGGTCCTGCCTTAGCAATCTTTTGTGAAGAAAATATGCAGAAATGTGTCTATGTTTACAAAGCTAGACATATCCCACAGGACCTTAAAATGTAAATCTAGCTAAATTTGTTTCTACCAAATACAAATTCAGGCAGGGGCTGCCTGTCTGAAATACTCCTTGTTTCTAAATGTTTTTGCGAATTAACCAGCCTCTGAGTCCTTTACATAACAACAGTAATAATGTAGGATCTAAATAACCCACAGATGTGCTGTAGTTACAGTCAGGTTACTTCTGAAGGCAACTGGTTGCACTAGATTTCATTTGAGTAATTGTATCCAAGTTAATTTATTCAATACAAATGGGTGACTGATTGTTTAGGTTTTATTTGTAAATGAAATATCAGCTATCATTTTTTTTGTCTAATTCATAATTATATCTTACTTTATGTTGGTCTATCACAAAAAATCCAGATAATGCACTTTTAAGGTATTACTGAAGTGAAAACACTAAACAATATTTTTTTTCTTCAGCTTATATGCATTTGCTAATTCATGGCACATCACAGTTTTTATCCGCATTCAGAATGCAAATGAGATGATAGCAGCTATCATAAATTAGTTAAATGATAAAGTTTATATTCTTGTAAAGGAAAATGACTACCTTTAGGTAATGAAATGTTCATATTCAACTTAGATAGATGCATGATTAGAGTACCTTGAAGAGGACATGCTGCTTAGATTTGTTGCAGATTTCCATTGCTCATAACCTTTTCTTCCCCTTTTCTCTTCACTTAGATGAGATGAAAACTGTTGAGAGCTCAGAAGAACCTCTTTTAAATAAACCGGAAGACCCAAAGCCCAAAGGTAAGGGCACGGAGGAAACATTAACAACCTCTCACGGGCTCACTCTCATCTCACACACATCTCTATTTTTGAGGTATCCTATTAGTGCCCACTGCTGCTGAATTAAAAGTACCTTTATTCAGAGAATCCTCAGCTTTGTGCAGTAAATTGTTGCCCAGGTTTATCCTCCCTGCATCAGTTTTCCCCTTGTCTATCTCCATCTGGCTTGCTCTGTTGAGGCAGGCAGTTTGTATGTGCTCCTCCAGGGCCAAATGCATTTGTAACTCCACTCAACCCATTTCAGGTCTGCAGTGTTAACCCTGATATTTCAGCACACAAGTGTTGGCACGCCTTTGGAGATTGAGTGTGATAAATTACCTGAAAACTCGACCATTGGATGTTTAATAAATCAACTGTAAAATGTATATTATTTTAACATGGAGCAACTTCAGACTGCAGTGGCAGTAATCATGCCAATAAATCATGTTTGATAAGGATACTATGCTCCTGTTCCTCTCAGATTTCTATTAGGGTTTCAGTGTATTAGGCTGGCATGTCATTTGTATATTGACACATTCTAAAGGAGTTTTGCATTTTGCATTTCTGTTTCCACATTTTTTCCCCCTTATTCAGTAAGGTTGCTAAGCCAGAAATAGAGACTTTGGCACTGCAACGTGAAGTTTCCGGCTAGAAAAAAAGAAACTTAAGCATCTGCTATAAACAGATTGTTGGTTTGAATAAATAGGGCAGAGGAGCAACATATGAAATAAGTTGGCAGAGATACTCTGGACGGTGTAGAGAAAAGAAAGCATTAACAATGCCAGATAAAGCGCCAGGGAAGAAAAAGGTTGTTGTCTAACAAGCTTCAGAATCAGTTTGAGATGCTGCTTTAGGAATGTGCTCAGAGTATACTGTGCTTTTAAATTAGCTAGAGCAAAGCTTAAGAGGACGAGGCTTTCCACTTGTCTTAGTATAAGTAACGGATTAGTTTAGCTTCACAAAAGGTGGACAAGCTGGAAAACAGACCAACCTCATGGTTTAAAAAAAATCTCTTCTTACTGAATTTAAAGATTCAGTTTTACAGAATATTTTAGTGCTGTCAATAAGTATTTTGTTGAATGATAATGACATTAATGTAATTAAATGAGTATTCTTTTTTTAGCACTTTAATATACTAAACAGAATCTTATGGACTTATTTCAACAAGTGCAAAAAAATTAATTCAAGACGTGTTCTAGTGACAAATCCTGCTTCTGCTTCATGAAGAATTACCATGTTGGTAATTAAACACATCGACATTCATATTTTATTTGAGCATTACACAAACAAACAAAAAGGTTAATGCCTACATTTTTATGTTTACATAGGTTTTACACTGTATAAAAGATCTAATCAGTGCTAAGTTCTTATAACCAGTGTTGAAGTAGATTGAAGTAGTAATATAAATGGAAGTTTTAATATAAATTTCTAGTTCTTATCAAAGTAAGCACATTGAATAACCTCAAATTAATAATCTTGTTAGTACAACAATCATTTTATCTTCCCACGCACCAGTTTCGCAAACATCGTCCCTATCGGACAGCTAATTTCATCTTCCAGAGGTTTAGAAAACAGTCTTGTTTAAATGCTGGTACCGCTGTCAGTGTTCCATTAGCTTCGGCAGACCAAAAATTTTTGCTGACATGTATACAAAAAAGAAAATAAAACATCATATATGCCTTTTTGTCTGGATTATGCAATAGAAGGTTGCAAATTTCATAGAGTTCTAGTCTAGTGTTTGTTGAGGTTTTATCAGTAATAAGCAGGGATCTGCTCAACTCATCACATCCAACCAATCAGTGTTCATTTCACATATATGACATTCATTCAAACAGATAAAATACACAACTTGAATGTTATACTTATAAAAAGACATTTTATCCAAAACAGAATGCAAGGCCTTGACCTTTTATTTACATCTGGTACAAAACGAAGTGGCAGTTTTTAAGAGGGATCTTAGTACAGTACATTTCTTTAAATGCTAGTATGTTACAAATGAGAATTGTATTCAGTTATCTTTGATCAGTAAAACCAAAGTGTCTGACAGTATTTTCTTATTCCATCTTTACTCTCTCGCTCTAGAAACTATTAAGAACAACGAATGACCTGCTGAGAGGAGAACAATCAACCTCATCTGACAGCCAGAAAACTGTGCAAAGGCCAACCCCACTGGTGTCAGCCTGGCCCATGTCAGAATGGGCTCTGACATTGGCCCAGGAAAACCAGTTACTTCCCATGATGCTCACATTCCCTACTTTAATTAGCTTCCCATCTCCTCTTTCTTTCCTAAAGTATGTATGCACTGTATGTAAATGTATGTACAAAACCTTGCTATGGGACTTGAACATATCAACCAGAAAAGATGAGCCATACCTCACTGTGTGTTAGTCATCCATCATTTTGCCAGCAGGGTGCGAAGAGACGAACCAGGTTCAAGTCTTCATTTGCTAAAAGCCACTGTGAGAGCTCGGTCAAGCTGTCAGAGGACAGCAGACCCGCTCCTACTGTACATGTTGACACCCCTGACTGGATGAGGCTTGACATCAACCTTTTTGTTCCTTTGATTCCAACACGGCAATATACAGGTTAATATTCTGCATTTATGGGGCTTTTAGAGTGCACTACACTAACACCTGCTCTGTCTCATCACATGCTGGGGAAGCGCCAAGTCAAATCAGCCAATAGCTGTAAGGCAATGTGCCATTCCCAGTCAACTCATCTCCTAACATCCCAGATCAGGAACACAAACCAGGATGTGTGTGTCTCTTGACAAATTGACAAGGTCTTTTTTTTTCTCTCTCTCTGCTTTCTTCACCTTTTCCAGTGCATGCCAGAAAATTGCTTTGAGTTTCTCAAACATAAACAGGAACTAGTCCTCTTCGCTTTTGCGCGTCTTCTTTCCAGATTGTTTATTATTGTATGGAAGGAATCTGCCTTATTTCATATCAGAAAAAAAAAAGGTGTCAGACTTTAGGAACTGGGCCAAGTATGATTTATTTCTCTTGTGTTTTGCTTGCAGATGATTTGTATTTTTAATTACATCTCATGATGGCTATTACCTGTTGTTAATCATTTATTGTTTTGTTCTCTTGGGTTAAACTTAAAATGGTTTTACTTTCTTTTAATAGTTGGATAAGGATTGATTATTATTTTTGGTGATGCTATACTAAAGAGGAGACGAATTACAGCTCTATGAAATGAAATGATGCCTTCATACTTTGATGTTTGCTTTGCTAAACTATAACAGAAACGACTAATAAAGTTTAAACGCAAAGCCCGTCTGATTCTGTGGTTATTGTGTGATTTACTTTTATCATGATCTATTGTATACATGTTTGGCCATCTTGTTTAGATCAAACAACAGAAGCATGCAACTTACAATTTGACTGACTGCGACGTGCCAAACTGCTGTAACAAGGGACTGGCAATAAACATATAGAGAACTGCAGAAGGGAAAAAAGAAAATCACACAAGACAGCTTAATGGTGAAATCAATGGCTTTATTATTAAAAAAACACAAATTGAATATTTATCATGTCTCTTAATGTGGGCATGAAATTGGCACCCCAACTGCACACCGATTCTGGGTAACTTTTGTGATTGGCAGGTAAATCTATCAATTTACAGTACCTGCCATGTAGGCGGGTAGCCAATAAAACAGCAGACGACACTGAGTGTTGTGCAATCACATAGCCTGTTGTTTTGTTTGGAAAGCCCCACTCTTTTTGGATTTGTTCAAACAAAATGTGGAAAAATATGGGTGGCGTGAAGAGCCTGCAGGCAGTAACAGATCAAAAGAAAAATGAGGAGAGCAATTCAAAAGAGATTTAAAAAATACGTTTTAATACGGAATGGGAAGGAATGGCAAGGCTTGAGACTGGCTGGTGTCACAACAGAGGAAATGCACAGTATGTGTGGGTCAGAGAAAGCGAGATCAGATTAGACCTCATAGAAAATCCAGATGCTTCAGTAGTGGGCACTGCAAAAACAATCTAGAAATAAGTAAAGAATTTCAAATCCTTAAATTAAGTGTATTTACCCTTAATTTGAATAGGTAAATGACATGATTTGGCAATGGGATTAGTATTTTTACTCTAAAAATAAGATAAATAATATGCCCTCAAAATGAGACAATTCATTTTTTTTTTCTTATTTTAAATGTAAATTGTCTTGTTCCATTGGCAAAGTATCTCACTTACCTCAAGTCAAGAAAGAAATCCCTTAATTTAAGTAAAAAAAAATAATATTTAGATTTCAGTTTTTTGCAGTGGAGGAAGCAGAGGTAAGTGTCCACTATTCCTCTTTAGAGGAACTCAGAATCTTGTATGCTTGTATTTTATGCTCTGTGAAAGGGTTTTTCAACCATTGTCTGACCTCGACATTACAGCAAAATATGGTTTGGATTCGGTTGATCTCACTAATGTTGTTATGATTGTTACTGTTATCTAAATTTTATTCAATCAAAATATTAGACTTGTCTGGAAAATAAACTAATATGTACGAATTAAAGAATACCATTTATGTAAACTGAAAATCTTTAAAAAAAAAAAGGAAAACAGAGTTGAACCTGGGTCCAAACAGTGAGAAAGAGACGGTTATACAGTTAATTAGATTTGAAGCTGACTGCTAGCTAAATAAATGAGACCATTACTGAGAAGATTGGCTGTTTGTATTCCTGTCATTTTCTATATGAAATGTAAGTCAAACCAGGTCAGATACATCTGTCATGATGAAGGTCGAGTTATAAATGAGATTAACTTGGTTAATAACCCGACAGCACTTTAATGTGATTTCTGTACAAGTTCAAGAACTAAAGCATTTTCTGAGTCGCTCACCTTTATTTTAGGCGTAAAAAAATTTTGTCTGGTGGCCAAAAAAATTGGCTTCATGCCCTGCTCTTAATAACAGAACAAAACACATCAGCAAAATAGTTTCAAGGAGTCTTTCATCTGAATAAACCAATACACATTTATCTGCTAATTCTCCTCATCCAGGCAAAAAAATAAATAAAAAATTAAAGAGTAAATTAAAACTATGCTTTACTATTTCTTTGCCTTGGTTGTGGGAAGAATCTGTGGTCTGATTCTGAATTTCAGGTTGCATGACCAGCAAAGATCTCACTGTTGCAGAAGACCTGCTCCTCAGTCTGTCACAGCCACTCCAAGGACCTCAGACTCACAGGCACACAGCAACACAGGGACTTTATAGAATCTTAAGTTTTATCACTCCCAGTCACTTTGAGCCTGTAAGGCAACTTCTGGTTGCAACAGCTCAGCGCGATTTCTTCATCGGCTCAACAGGAGAGAGGGTCAGAGCAACAGCTTGGTGGCCGTTCAAGAATTATAAAAACTAAAGGTGTGTACATTTCCATGTGTCACACACAGTACACGTAAAACAATAATCTCGCTATAAATGTACTGCTGATCTCTGTATTCTGATATTTTTGTTTATTTTCGTAAATGTCTTTATACATTATGTCATGCAAAGAGTTGTGGAATTCCTTGTAGCTCTGTTGCACCACTGAGGGACCTCAAAAGCTCATTGTGCTCAGGAGCTATGACCTGAAGCACATAGGCTCCCTTTCGTATTTCCATACTTGTTGACAACACTATTTGAACAGAACTTATGGCAAATCGTGGGGCACATCTGCTTTGGCCGGAAAGTCCTTGCTAATAAGGCCATGTTGAAAAAAACAAATAGCACAAAGCTACAGGAGCCAAAACAAAGCTAGTAAAGTATATGTAAGTAATGCACAGAACAGTAACACTGATGTAGACGTTGATAAGGAAAGAAAAGCAGGATTTAATAAAGAACACAAGACAGAGATCTTTTTTGTGGCTCATGGACAGATGACAATACGAATGCCAAAGATGAGCTAAATGTGTTGCTGTAAAATCCATAATTAATGTATTAGCTTCTCAAAGACAAGTGCAAATCTATAGGTCTCCTGTTTGTTTGTGTCAGTGCAAGCATTTTAAGGGAGAAGTGACGTCTACATTGGCTTTCCTGTGCAAACATGAAGGTTTGTATCTAGTTTTTTGCAGATTGGTTTCGCCACTGCTTTGCTTAGATTGGACCCACATCAGGCCAAGAAGTCGTTGTGGAATGTTTCCAACCTTGGCTTTGACTGTATGTGGTCCTAATCAGCTATATTATAAATATAAATACATATAAGTCTGGTTTACATTTTTAGTTGAGTTATGAACTGAATTACAAAAGAGATCACTGCTAAAACCTTTCGCCAGAACAAAAGAAAAAAATTCTGAATTCCAAGGCTTCCTTAAACTGAATGGAAATAAACACTTAAGTGATTGCCTTTTTATTTTTATCCACACATTTCCTGTAGAAATGAGATTTGGCCTGTGTGATAGCTATTCCAAAACAGTGACTTTTTTCTGCTTTTCTGAACTTAAGGTCATTTTCCAGCTAGAGAATCAAATTTTGACCAAGCTGCTGCGATACCAGCTAATGTTCTCTCTTCGTGATGCCATCTACTGTATGAAGGGTACCATTCCATCCTGCTGCAAACATCCCCACAAATCCCTCTAAAAGCAGTCTTACGATCATCCCTCTTTTGCTTTAAATTTTTCACATCCAAATGGCATACTTTAATTTTAGTTTCATCTAAACACAGAACACGTCTTCTAAAATTAAAGCCTTTTTGCTCAACTAGGCAACATCTAATCTGTTTTTTTTTTATCTTTTACTTGGAACAATGTTTTATTTTCAATCAACCAAGCAGCACATGCTGGTATAGGACTTGTATAACTGTGGATATCAAAACACTCTTACCAACTTTTTTTACAAGGTTTTTTGCATAGATCTGTTCTCCAAAACCTATTCATCCCTAAGACAGACACCACTTATCTTTCCTGAACAAATGAGTGTGGAAATTTTAGGTATCTAGAAATATTACCAAAAGATGGACTTCTTCTGGGTCTCTGCAATGTTCATTCAGATATCTGGACATAATTAAGAAAAATACTTAAAATACATTCTGCTCGGTAATAACTCAAATCTTGTAATATATCAATCAGAAGCTTCTTAAACAGTTGTAAGCATCATCTGAGCTTTCCCGAAATTGCTAAAAGACACAGCAGTCTCAGCATATGTAAACCTTTGATTTTTGAAGAAAGTAATTCAATAAAAACTTTCAAATGTATTCTTATGTTGGCATTTATAAAATATTTATTTTTTTCTTTGTCTATTTGTAGCTGATCTGAACATAAACAGGTGTCATATCATTTCATTTCAGACAATAAAGAAAAAGGCTGTCCTTTTTATACATTGTGTAAATATCTGCTTGCAACTGTATAAAGAAGCACATACAGTAACTTGATTGGCTGCTCAGCTGAAATGATCTGAAATGCTTTGAACTACTGTTACCTTTTTGTGTGGCAACAAATAGAGTATGCCTATGTGAAGCCAAGCTATCAGGAAGCAGACCCTGCAAATTCCCAGCTTGCCATTTGACAAAGGAGATATTCACCACACTAAAGGAAAATGAAGCAATATTTTGTGGATGAAGATTGTCTTTTCTGGGGGTAAGTTCAAGGGGCTGGAGACAGTTTAATAAACCACAAAACACTGAATATCTGAATACTGAAAACTGTATGTCTGGACTGCTATTCATATGGTAAATATTTAGGCTGCATTTGAATTCATAATAATACATGAGAAGGTGATGCTCACGTATGCCAAAAAGGAAACATCCTGTAGGCTTTTCAACAACTCATGATACAAAGCACACTGCTAATCCTTCAATATCATGGTTCAAGCCCACCAAAATTAACATCCTTGTTTAGCCAGCCTGAGGTTTGGACCCCTTAACTAATACAAAACCTGTCAGGTTAAATCAAACATACTGTCTGGAGGTAAAGCTTAGAAATGCAGAAGAATAGTTGATAGATGTCTAATTAATCCAGGTGTAAATTTGATCACTTCATGCAACAGAAATAAGCAACAACATATAACTGCAATGATATACAGAGAAAGTAAATCTTAAAAAAAGAAATCAATTTAAACATTAAATAAGTCTTAGAAATTGGATGAAAAGTCAGTAAAAAGGAATGGATTTTCTTTACCGCAAGGACTAAATGGTTATTATTAGTGAACAACTGCCTAAGCAACCAAATGCTGCAGCCACAAAAGCAATGACGTCACACTGAGTGGGAACCTCTTGTCTGACAGGAGCTTAAGAGATTGTGTTTTGGTTTTGAACAACCAATTTTTGCTTTTATCTGCAATGAGAAGGAGACATATAGCAATGCATTT